TTTAACACCAGCTGCAAGCTCTCTCTTCTCTCTGTCTAGTTTGTCTTCCAGCTGGCGGTACTTCTTCCTTGGTCTCAGTGTGCCACCGTTATGTAACTGCACTTCTGTAAAGTTTTGTTCATTCTTGATCCAACGCACTTCACTTTCAAACCAATGCCCACACAGACACACACTCACCCAGCAGGCCAACAAACACATAAACATAGACATGGCCAAAATCCAAACACGAAAATTTGCTACACCCGCATCCAAACCACTCCTCCCTACACCACACCCAAACACCATCCCACAAACAAACACCACACCCTTAACCGACAGCTCTGTCTGGGGCCCCTACCGAGAAACCGCACCCACCTCACACACACAAGCAGCCACTCAACAAACCACGAACCCTCCCACATCTCACATAGCCAAAACATCAACCCCCGCATGAAAACCAAACCACAAAACGACCGCCACAACACGACCCTCATCCAAGCACCCTACAGCCCACATGGCAACAACACTCCCCCACAAGCAAGCACAACAACAAAACACAAACACTGAGAAATCCACAGCTACACCCATCCCGCAAACACCTCCACAACCCTCCACATCACATGCCTCCCCTATGGAAACTCAAACAGCTAAACCTAATCTAACCGATGACGAAGATTTCTCCACTACTGAGGAAACAATAGACACTACTCCAACTAAAACAAACCAAACTTCCCTCAGCCCCAAAAAGGAAAAAAAAACTAAACCGCAAAACTCCCCAACCAGCCAACACCCAAAACCTAAATAACCTCACCTTACTCCTAGCATTCATGCATAGTCAAAACTCACCACAAGCTAGCATGAAATCCTTCCACAAAGTAGCTTTCAATCTAAAATTAACCAATCTTCCCTTCTTCCTCTTTAAACTCTATTTAAAAGAAGTCACCGAATAAAATAAAAACTAAATCACCAATCACCCGAACCCAATAATGGAAGGATTAAATATTTTTCAGTGGAACGCCAACGGACTCACCTCCCACGGCCATGAACTAAAAACTAAATTTAAACTAAATAAAGGCCCTCACATTGTTTGTATCCAGGAAACCAAATTGTCAAAAAAATCCAAATTCACACTACCTAACTACAACTCAGAACTGACAGAGCTAAACCAAAAACAAGAAGAGCCGCAGGAGGACTAATCATATTTATCAGGGAAGATATAAATTACGAAGAAATAAAAATAGACACGCCAAACCTAGAAGCCAACGGCATTAAAATCACATTAAATAACCGAAAAATAAACATCATAAATATATACCACTGGGCGGAACAAAAAGTCCAACCTGAGGATCTAAACAAACTACTCCAAATAAGCGATAAATCGCCTATATTCCTAGGAGACTTTAACGCTCACCATCCTACATGGAGCATAGATGATAAAATAGATAATCACGGCAAATTAATCTCCGAATGGATAGAAACAAACGACCTAGTACTCCTAAATAACAACCAACCCACGAGGTACGATAAGATAAACCAAAAAATGTCGGCTATCGACCTAACCATATGCACCGCAGATCTAGCCCAAAGTACTCAATGGGAAGTGCACGACGTCCCGCTAGGTAGTGACCACTTCCCCATAAACATAACCATAGGAAATACAAACGTACCAATCCAAACAGAAAACCAAAAACCAAAATTCCATCACAATAAAGCTTACTGGGACCAATTCCAAGATATCTGCAACGAAGCTAACTTAAACGAAATAGAAAATAATGATCCAGAAACCTATTGTAAAAACCTAACAGACTATATAATAAACGCTGCCAAAACCTCCATCCCCTTCAACACATCTAAGACAGGCAAACCGACGGTACCATGGTGGAATGAGGAAATAGAACAGACTAGACGAAAACGTAAATCAGCCTTCAATAAAGCAAAACGCGACTACAAACATCTAAACATAGCCCACGAACTAAAGCACCAGGTTACATCTACAGCTACATCTACCAGCTGTTCACGGAACTGTGAAACTATGACAAAAGCTGCTTCAGAATCCGACCACAGAGCACTGGGTCACCAGACAGCTAAGTTCAATGTAGTTGTTGTTGCATTAGGTGTTTAAGAGGTCGCCTTCTGCCTAGGCAATTTCGGCTGACCTGTCCCTCTTTGGGACTCCTGTGTGTGAGAAGGGTTCACATATCTATTGTGAGTTCGGTGTTCACATAATTTCTGTTTTTGCATTGATATGATTTCTATTTTCTTATATTGATATGATTTCATTTTTATCCTTGGCTGCTCTGTTTATATACGTTCGAGCAGCTGTCCATCTCTCAGAAATAGAGTTAGTTTGGCCTTCGCTATTGCATCTCTTGGCTTTAGGAGATCTATGACAGATAGCGGATCTAACTGCAATTCTTGTTTTAACCTAGCCCGGGCCGGGGCATGGTCTTGACATTCTAGTAACAGGTGGTCAATGGTTTCAGCCTGATTGCAAGATGAACAAACCTTGTCATAGTGCTTTTTGTGACCAAGTCTGAGGCGTGAGATAGCAGTTTCAATTTTCCTTTCATTTGAGTATGAGTTTGGCTTTTGTTGGACCTTGGGTTGAATTTTGTATAGCCATCTGCCGATCTTACTTGCGTCCCATTGGGTTTGCCATCTTTTTGCTATGGAGGCTTTGATTTTGCTTTTTATCTCTAGTTTACTAAAGGGAATAGGCTGTATATCCGCTTTGTCTAGAGCTAGCTTCGCCAGTGAGTCTGCTTTTTCATTTCCATGAATATCTATGTGAGAGGGGATCCAACACAGCTCCACCTGTTGCCCTTGGTCCGATAGTTTTGTATATTCGTATAGAATATTGTTGACTGTGTTTGGCCTGGAGTTTGAGTTTCTTCCACTGATGGCCTGAAGTGCACTTAGCGAGTCTGATAGGACGACGGCCTTTGCTTCCGGGAGTTCCGGTATGAGTTTGAGTGCATGATGAATTGCCTCCAATTCAGCCGTGAATACTGACTGACCATCGGGCAAGCGAACTGAATGTGCTTGGGGTTTGGAGCTGTGGATATGGATCCCGTAACCAGCACTGTTGTTGATAGGATTCTTGGATCCATCAGTGTATATATGGGCCCAGCTGTCCCAGGTAGTTTGAATTTTAGTGATAGCTACTGAACGTAGTAGGGTTGGGTTTTCTCTTTTAGTGACTTCTGATGTTAAAGCAGTGTCAACTTTGGGAGTTTGTAAAGTCCAGGGAGGGTGTAACCCTTTGTAGTGACTTTCTGGAGGCTGAATGTCATCGCAATTGTGACTTCGAATGAGTTCACGTACTAATATCCCAGATGGCTTTAGTGAGGGATTTTTTCGAGCTAGGGCCTCATCTCGAGCGTTTTTGTCTTGCCATATCTTTTTAACCAAAGGGTTTGATGTTCGTCCCCAGAACGATAATATTGCCTGCTCTCGTCTTAGTTTCAATGGGAGTTCTCCCGTTTCTACTTGTAGTGCTTCTAGTGAGGTGCCTGTCGCTGCGCCTGTGGCCAGTATTAGGGCTTTGTATTGTATTCTGTCTAGTCGCCTCAAGACAGTATTTGATGCTGAGTGAAAAGCCTCACAACCATAGTCAATTTTTGATCTGATAAGAGCTTTGTAGAGGTCCAGCTGAGTGTCCCTCGATGTGCCCCAAGATGTGCCTGAAATTGCCCGTAATACGTTCAGGTCTTTTTGACATCTGTTTTCCACATATTCGATATGCTTGCGCCAAGTGAGGTGTTGATCAAGGATAACTCCAAGAAATATTGCAGATTTTTCGAATTTGATAGGTTTGCCTTTTATGGAGACACGGGGTATCATAGCATCTTTCCCCCGGCGTTTGAATAGAACTCCAACAGTTTTTTCACTTGAAAGGGTGAATCCCCATTTATTGCACCATTGATCTACTCCGTCCAGGGCTGACTGGAGTTTTTTTCTGATTTGTGAGATATCTCTGTGCTTTACCCATATTGCTCCGTCATCAGCGAACTTAGAAGTTTGGGTAGGAGAGTTGACATGGTCAAAAAGATCATTGATCATGATATTAAACAGGGTTGGGCTTATAATGCTGCCTTGTGGCGTGCCATTGTCCAGTGCCATAGGATCCGATCGATTGTTCCCTATTTTAACTGAAAGCGACCTGTCTTGCAGGAATGTACTGGAAGAAATGCCTTTTAACATTAACGGCAAGTCATGCGACACTGTGTCCTGGGTGGGTATTGCGATACAGCACCGGGGGGATTGCCCACTAATTCATGTTAAACCAACACAGGATCGATGTTTTCTGCAAGTGGATATTTGCGAATGTCATAGGGCTGACACGACACGTGTTAATAACTGTCAAAGCGCTTCTAAAATTACAACACATACTTTACATCTATAGACTAGTATTATATCTACCTATATAACACTTTAGTGTCTCATATTGCGGTAGCAAACACGGTGCTCAAAGTGAAGCCCTTTCCCCTCTACGTTCTCTCTATCAGAAGTGTTTGGCTTGTGTTGGGTCCGACTTGGCCCGGGCGGTCAAAATCTACTTTAAACATACAGATGTATCTTCAAATGTGTTTACATCTATAGATTAGTGTTATATCTACCTATACACCACTTTATAATGTCACAGTGTATCATTTAAAGAAACCTGGTCCGTTAAAGTCAAGCATTTTTACTACATTTTCTTAAGAAAATCTATGTCAGAAGTGTTCGGTCCGACTTGGCCCGGGCTGTCAAAATCAACTTTAACCTCACAGATGTTTCATCAAATGGATTCACATCTATAGATTAGTATTATATCTACCTATATACCACTTTATAGTGTCTCAGATCGCTGTACTTAAAGAAAAAAGGGGCTCAAAGTGAAGCCCTTTTCCCTCTACATTCTCAACATAGTCTCTATCAGAAGTGTTTGGCTTGTGTTGGGTCCGACATAGAAGTCAGAATTGAACAAAGTATGTATTTCATCTTCAACAGTTACAGTATTTATGATTAGGGACAGGGCTGTTTGAACTGGGTTGGTGACACACCCACGCCTGAACTGGGTCAAACACTGAGCTGAATAGTCAGGCCAACACGGAGGTACATCGGTCCATATAGACGTACACGCCCAGTCAAGTCAGTTACTGTGCCGGGTGCACCAGGTAAAACATGGCGTCAAGGACCAAGCAGTGGATAGTGCTCGTCGTGGCCTTTGTGGTGGCAGCGGTCGTTATTCATGATAGATATACACCCTATACCAACGTTGGATACCAAAAGGACAGTATCATCCAAATGATTTCAACAGAAGGTAACACTATGTTTGCTTAACATAAGACCAATATCATACCAGGTTTTACACGGCAGTTACATCAAGTTATCCCACTGAGTCATTTATTTATTCAATCACTACACATTGTAACATGGCAAGAAATAATCCTATGGTAAGGATGATAACAAAGGTTATTGGTGTGATCAGACCCGAGGGGTTTATTCTCCCTGCAGTGTTTTACAATAACCTTGCAATAGAGCGCCACATAACACAGCCAGGTAGCTGTGGCGGGTGCACGGGATAACAGGGGATAACAGGGGATAAACGTGGCCTTTAGGGTAGCTGGGGTCGTTTTTCATGAGAGAAATGTATGCCCTATGCCCTATGCCCTATGCCCTATGACATCAGCCAAGCGATGGGGTTTCTGGGGGTAATCGCGCGTCCCTACGCTCCTCTCTGCGATCTGTCATATACACATTGCAATGCCATTGAATAAGCCGTGGGATGTTGGGAGTTTTCTATATGTATTAGTGAAATTTGTTCCCGCAGTACACAAGCACGCGCTTTGGTATTACACAATATGTAATACAGCTGTGTGTTTATTAAACGGGTGATCTCTTCACGAGCAAATAAATACCCCATACCAATGGTGGATACCAACAGGTCAGTATTATCTAGTATCGACTCGATCCGTGTCTGGGCTGACAGTGACAGTCCACAGCAATCTATGAATTTACCTTATTGTCTATTTGTCACATCTTTATGATCAACTTTAAATTATCAGCCAATTGATCAATGGTGACGAAAACTAAAACAGGTTCATTAACAAGTTAGGAAATTTCTCCCGTCGCGTTTATCGTGTCGGCTATTTTGACGTCATGTACTTAATGTAAATGTATTACGACGCGCTGTCATTGTGACTGACATGCTGAGGTAGCTCTTAACAAAACTTTCTCGACTAATGGTGCTATTTGAATACATGTGTTGTATCAGATGTTGTGTATACATACGCTCATGTCACCTCTCTTTTTGAGGAACTATTTTATTCCGCGATACAGTGGCTGTCAGTGTAAACTTGAAGTCACACGTACTAAATACTATTGAGTTTAGATCTTGGCCTACATCCTTTGAGGCAAAAAACTGTGATAAAAAATTATAAGAATTGACTTTCACTTGTACGAGTGAGGGCAAAGCTGGATGAACATCGGAGCTTGCGTAAGTAAACCACCACGTGATATTCATACCCGTTACATTGGAGTGCAGTGACCCACTAGCGGATATATTCATCACACTTACGCAAAACAAAGTAGTTCCAATTCCATAAATAAAATGAAAAATTGTATTGTACGTGGTGTCTTTCGTTGATTTATTACATGCATAAATGTGCAACTTAAGTAGTCAGAAACGTTCTGAAATCTACTTGTTTGTTTGTTTGTTTTTATGGGTTTTTTTCATTGTAACCAAGAGAAATAGTCGGAAATGCCGATATGAAAACGTTGTTGTCGCTGTACGTGATGTTGTGTCACACAGGACGGAAACTTTGACAATTACTGTTGAATTTACCAAATCATTGAAATGTATCTGTTTTCTAATTCCATAACCCTTCTCACGATCCCCTTCTCAGGCATATTCTAAAAATATACAGCCATTGTATGTCTCAAAATAGAAGACATTGCTACACAGTGTAATATCCGAATTTGGTTTTGTTTACATTTCAAACACGTGTAGTTTTCCCAGCACAGCGTTCGTTTTCACATTAATTTATTTCGCCTGAGTTCATCTGGACAGTTTGTTCTGGTGACAAAGACCATTTAGCATTTGATTCTAAAACGTATGAGGAATTAATGGATGTATTTATCGCAGATGAATTTGAAAAATACGTGACGTAATTGGCATCTCATAATCGGAATACGTGGACGTGATTATGTCAACACTGTCCAGTATGGCGGATAGTTACTTCGGCGTTCGTGTTTGCACATTTTCTAACATTGTAACGTCATCGGCGACGTTTGATAATGATCAATAGTGACTTGATAAAAAAACATACTTCAGAGAGATCACCGAAATGCTTTTTTTGAAATTCAATTCAAATTTTAAATATTCAATATTTTGATTGCAGAATACACACTAAATAACGCTGTGAATGGGGATTTAGTAATGTGTCAAAAATGGAGAGATTTACGATGCTCCTAATTTTCAGAGGTCATTTTCAGTCATTTTCCTTTTTTCCTAAAATGAGGTTAAATGACATCACAGGACAGGGAATTTCCCATGGAATTGAAAACCTTGAAGAGTATTTGTGTGTAACAGGAATGGTTTAGGTGAATGAATAACTAAACGCAGGTTTATTTGTTGATGACAGTTGTTTAATACAGTAGCATAAATAACAGAGGCCATGTGAAAATAAATACACAGAGTTAAAATATGCACAATACCTACACATACAAATAAATCATTACATTATAACTTATTAACAAATATTAGAATCTTATATATGATCATATACATTGTTCTGATCCATCGTAATTAGTTTTATCTTACTTTACTCTAAATATTACAGGGGATTTATTATATAATAAATTGACAAACATAGCTTATCAATAATGGGAGAATGATGATAAATGTATTAATACATAACACACAATTTCAGTACATATCACCATAAATACATACAAAATATAAATGTCCTCACCAGGTGTATGGCACTGTGCCCTATGATGTCACAACATCAGACATCATTTGCTTTACCGGGATACACCTGAACATAAATATATATATATATATAACATAATTACATCAATATGTTTACATCCTTAGGTACATACAAAAACCCTAAAATATATATTCTAATCACTCACCTCATCATACAGACATACATGTGCAGTTGAGTGCAGAACTTTAATTTAAAGGTAAATAGCTCCAGTCTATCAATAAATGTACTCATTATGCTTAGTTACGCAATAAGTTAAGTAATATCAACATGAAAATGCTAATTAAGATTATCTATTATAAACATACTTACATACTTAAAGTATTTAAGCAAATTTAGCCTAACTTCATTTACCTGAATATGATGACTGATATGATATATATTTATCACACCTAACAATATAAGTACTATTAAAAGAAGTTAAGAAACCATACATATGCACCTTAACAAACCCTTCTAAGCACTAAATAGGAACACATACATGTACAAACATGCCACTAACCTGTGGCAGTTGATTGAATTATTTCAGCGATGAACTGAGAGCTTGTCTCCATACATAGTCAAATACAAGTGTAAATTGAATGAAACCTGGAGTGAAAAAGGAACGTTGATTTATTGTCCAACATTTCTGATCCTCACGGTCGTGGTAAGCAGGGCAGAGAATAGATTTTTGTCCCCTCGGGGATTCCCCATGAAAAGTAGTTCCGGTCAAAAATCGTGCAAAAGGTGAAGTTTATACTTTGTGGACGTCACTTTTCGAATATTGTTGAAACATGAACGGGTCATGTGATTAGCAAATAAACCAATCAAAGCATCGGAAATACCTTACACTTCAAAATAAGAACACATTCATGCAATCACTTCACAATCTAACGTTATGGTGCTACACTGGTTGTCAAAGCAAACGAGTTAAAAGACCGCCATCACCGAAACACCACGGCAAGAAATAATCCCATGGTAAGGATGAGAACAAAGGTTATGGAGGTAAACAATTTCCCAAATGCTCCCATTGGTAAGTGACCAAATATAAGGCAATGCCAAGGACATGTTCGAACAAAATTCAATTGATTTATTCATAATAGAACTTGAGAAAAAAAATTCCCAAATTCTCTATGAAGGCTCGTACAGAGTATTATTCATTTTGTAGGGAAGTCGGAAGTACCTGGCAGTTGTTGTTGCACGAGTGAAGGTTGTGGTGTGTGTAGAAACTCAGTGTGCCTTGACCGATTAAAATATCTGGTTTTGAATCTGTAGGTGAAACATATTTAATCTCGATACAAAATCCCACAATCACATCTGGTGCCTGGACATCGAACGAATGTTTCCCTACCGTGGTACAGATAGTCGATGTCCCAGCAGCGCACCACCGTTCATACACATATATACCGTGGTACAGATAGTCGATGTCCCAGCAGCGCACCACCGTTCATACACATATATACCGTGGTACAGATAGTCGATGTCCCAGCAGCGCACCACCGTTCATACACATATATACCGTGGTACAGATAGTCGATGTCCCAGCAGCGCACCACCGTTCATACACATATATACCGTGGTACAGATAGTCGATGTCCCAGCAGCGCACCACCGTTCATACACATATATACCGTGGTACAGATAGTCGATGTCCCAGCAGCGCACCACCGTTCATACACATATATACCGTGGTACAGATAGTCGATGTCCCAGCAGCGCACCACCGTTCATACACATATATACCGTGGTACAGATAGTCGATGTCCCAGCAGCGCACCACCGTTCATACACATATATACCGTGGTACAGATAGTCGATGTCCCAGCAGCGCACCACCGTTCATACACATATATACCGTGGTACAGATAGTCGATGTCCCAGCAGCGCACCACCGTTCATACACATATATACCGTGGTACAGATAGTCGATGTCCCAGCAGCGCACCACCGTTCATACACATATATACCGTGGTACAGATAGTCGATGTCCCAGCAGCGCACCACCGTTCATACACATATATACCGTGGTACAGATAGTCGATGTCCCAGCAGCGCACCACCGTTCATACACATATATACCGTGGTACAGATAGTCGATGTCCCAGCAGCGCACCACCGTTCATACACATATATACCGTGGTACAGATAGTCGATGTCCCAGCAGCGCACCACCGTTCATACACATATATACCGTGGTACAGATAGTCGATGTCCCAGCAGCGCACCACCGTTCATACACATATATACCGTGGTACAGATAGTCGATGTCCCAGCAGCGCACCACCGTTCATACACATATATACCGTGGTACAGATAGTCGATGTCCCAGCAGCGCACCACCGTTCATACA